AAGAAGAAGAAGAAGAAGAAGAAGAAGAAGAAGAAGAAGAAGAAGAAGAAGAAAAGAACTCACTTCAAAGAATTTTAAAATCACAATAGTTGTGTCCTATGCAAAAGGCACTGTATAAAAATCTTCCTCAAGTAACTCAGATGAGAATGGGGAGCAGGCACAAGACACTGAAAAACTTTTCTTTTCAATTTGCAAAGGTTTGAGCTGGAAGATCCTGCTCTCACCAGAAAAAAAACAGGAAAAATAAGTCTATGAACCTACAGCAACAGACTTAGAAAACCTTAAAAGATTGGTGACAGGGAAAGACCATAATATGTGCAGAAAAATGCATGGCGAACGATGACACCAATGTCTCTTTCAGATTGGCCCTTATTGATTATTAAGTGTTTGAGCTCTTGCAAAATGGCACCTTGTACTGAATGCTTTCCCAAAAGATGAAAGTGTTATTGGTTCTGTCAAGATATATAATAAATAAAATTGTGTTTCAACACACGCGCACAAACACACACACATACACACACACACATACACACACACACACACACACACACACACACACACACAGATACTCTCTCACACAACCTTCTTTACATACACACATAATAAAGGCCTATGCTTGCACTCCCAAACAAAAGACACACAGACACATCCAGGTATAATAATTAGTGTTATGACTATCATGCCCTTCTCACCATTCATGTTGTACCAGAAGTGTATGCAGCGAGGCAGAGAGGGGTCCAGATCCTGACTGATGAACCTCGCCTTATCTCCTTGTCTGCGAGGGCTGGAGGCATCGATGTATATGTACTTGCCTGGAACAGAAATGGAGAGGAATTTGTCGCTTTTAAGGACAAGCGGGCTAACCCAGATTTTGGAGGTTTCCAGAAATCTTGACCAACACCAAAAATGGGCCTGCCCTACCTTTTGAAGAAGTTTGGTTCCACTGGTGTGTATATTTGTTTGGTTATAGAGAAAACTCTCCTTGTCTTTTAAAGAAACTGAAAACGGGGCAAAAACTTTACCGTCAATCTTCTCAAAACAGCATTTTTAGGGATAGCCCTCTTGAGCTTAGAAGACCAATTATAGTAAGGGTAAAGCACAACAACCCCCCCAATTCCTTTGCATACGACAACAATCACAGCCTGTTGTCTCCTTTTTCTATAAGACATAACTGCACTCCACTGTGACCCCCACTCCCGGATATGGCATATAAAACCAAGCAATTCAAAACGGAAGCTTCAATTCCCCTAAGTGGAGAGGGTTCAGGGTTTTTTTTAATTAAAATTTCTCAATCTTTCATCAGAGACACTGTATCCCACAAAGCTCAGGTTGATCCTGACAGACATGGTTGAAGTAACGTAGTATGCTTCCTTAAAGGTCAAAATCCATATCAAGTGGGGTGTTAAACATTCACAGGACAAGCTAAGAGAAACATTCACCCAAAACCCACAAAAACAGAAACAAAAAGACTGGATGAAATTAGAAGACGTGGGACAGAAGCTGATGAGATGAGATGGGAGGGGGAAAAGATAAGACAGAATGAGCTGGGATAGGAAGGCATGAGATGAGATGGGATGAGACATGGTTGGAAAAGACAAAGGATGAGATAATATTAGATGAGACAGGACAAAAGGAAAGCATTTACACAAAAGCATAGGACAATGACAGTGACATTGTCATATGAATATTCTTCTTGCTGAGAGAAAACATAAAAGCTATAATTCATACAGGACATCATCCTCTTTAGCACGTATATGCACGATATAGAAACAATTATTATTATCAAGTATTATAATACGAAAAAAAACCTGAGATTCTTAGGCCACATAGATAGAATTAATAAATGAGAGAAACTGCTTGTGTGTGAAAAGATAGAAGCAAAGAAGAGCAGAGGAAGACCAAGAACAACATACACAGACGGCCTGAACAACTCAGCAACAAATAACACAATGAGAAAAGGCGAGCTGATCAGAAAGACAAACAAGAGGAAAGAATGGGGTACCACAATCGTCAATGTCTGCTCCAGACTAAACACCTGAAGGAGATTATCATTAACACTTTGCAGTCACAGTACAAAATACCCTATCTGGTCACCCATCCTGGAGAGTGTCTGCAACGAACTTCTCGGGCCTGAAGCAGAACGGATAATTTTCACCGTCGTATTTTTGCGCCAAATGACCACAAAGTGTCACCTAAATCAGAATGGAATGTTTCTTACCTGTGTCATTTCCCAGAGTATGGTCAGCCACAGGACCAGTGCTCTGTGAGCCGGTGGTCTTACTCGTCCGCAGCCAGTCAAACTGATCCTGCTTCTCATCATTGACCCAAGTGCAGATGCCAGACTCAAAATTGCAGTTTGCTGCAAGAAACAAGTTGTTTGGTCAATTTTTCTCAAGTAAAATGCCGAGAATGCTTCTGAGAGTTCTAGGGTCTGCTGTGGTAATAATATAGATTGTGAAGCTGTTGTTGAGCAGGATTGTGTGCTATACAAAAGCTATTC